TGGGACCTAGTCAGCAGGGCCTGGGGGGTGTGTCCTCATCAGTGAGGCCCTTGCCAGTGGGGCCCTGGTCAGGGCAACCTGGTCAGTGGAACCTAATCAGAGGGGGCCTGGTCAGAGAGGACTTGGTCAGTGGTGGCTTTTGTAGCACCGGTCTATGGGGTGACCTGGTCATCAGGGACCTGAGCAGTCGGTGCCTGTTTGTGGGGCCTACTTATTAGGGTTCCAGTCGGGGCATCTGGTCACCTCAGGCCTGGTTAGGAGGGGCCTGATCAGTGGCAGCCTGTTCCCTAGAGGCCTGGTCAGTGGGGCCTCATCTGTGGGGTCAGGCAGTGGGGTTATGATCGGTGGAACCTGGTAAGTGAGACCTTGTCAGTAATGACCTAGTCAGTGAGAACTTCTCAGTAAGGACCTGGTCAATGAGGCCTTGTCAGTAAGGACTTTGTCAGTGAGGCCTGGTCAGTAAGGACCCAGTCAGTGAGGCCTTGTCAGTGAGGCCTTATCAGTAAGGACCTGGTCAGTGAGGCCTTGTCAGTAAGGACCTCGTACGTGAGGGCTTGTCAGTGAGGCCTTGTCAGTGAGGTCCTGGTCAGTGGAGTCCTGGTCATTGTGTGCCTGGTAGTGGGGGCATGGTTAGTGGGGCCTGGTGATGGGGGGTCTAGTCAGTGCGGGTGTGGTCAGGAAAGACCTGATGTGTGGAGTCTAGTTAGCAGGAACCTGGTCAGTGGGGACTGCTGAGCACTGCTTGGAGAAGCCTGGTGTATCGTGCGTTATCGAGGGCCCTGTGGACAGCTGGGATGGCCCAGTGGTGCCCAACAGCCCAGTCAAAAGTGGACAAAGCAGGTGTGTGGATGGACCTGGGAGATCTTGCTCAGAGATTCTGACAGGACAAAGGTAAAGAAAGGGCCAGAGTGGCCGGAGAGATGGTCACAGTCTATGGGCTGCACAGGATGGAGGAAGCCAGGGAATAGGCAGTGTGGGTAGCTGGGGTGCAGGGAGAGGCAGGTGCATGCTGGGAGGTCAGATCCTGTGAGGGCTGTGAGGGGTCAGGTGGGATGGGCTCCAGGTGCACCCTCAGTGCACTGGGTGGGTCTCACCCCAGGCTCCCTGAACCTCAGCCAGGTGATATGGTCACTCCCTGGGGGACTGCTCTCAGGCCCCGGCTACCCACCCTGGGCAGTGCTGTCCCATGTCAGGACTGTCAGGACTGGACTTTCTCAGATCCTGTAGAGGGCACAGCCTCCAGCCTAGGAGGGGAGGCCCCATGGTGCAGCCTGAGCTCTCCATGGGCCTGGAGCATCCCCTGCCAGCCTTGTGCTCCCTCTTCTCCCAGATCCCACTTTTCCAGTGTCAGCCAGCAGGGAGGCCCCATCCTCCCTTCCCTGTGTGTCTCCTGGGCTGGAACTTGTGGCAGATTGGGTCAGGAATGGGCTTCCCTCAGGCCCATTTGGGGAGGGGACTGGCTCCCAGCCTGGTGCAGGTCCTCAGCTCTGCCTTGGTTGCCTTAGAGTGAGATGAACCAGTCAGTGCCCTGAAGGTGAAGATAAGCAACTGTCCCCGCTGTTGGGAGGCTGGTCTAGGGATGGAGGACTTAACAGGTCCTCCCAGTCTGTCAGGCCTGGGCAGCACTGTCTTGTCTTAGGACTCAGAAAGGCCAGTCCTGAGATGAGGCAGTGCTGCCCAGGGCGGGTGGCCGGGACCTGACAGAAGTCCCCCAGGGAGTGACCACATCACACATCTAGGGTCTGGGGAGCCTGGCCTGTGACATGCCCAGTGCACTGAAGGTGCACCTGGAGCCCACTCCACCTGATGCCTCCACAGCCCTCACAGGGTCTGACCTCCCAGCATGTTCTTGCCTCTTCCTGCACCCCAGCTGCCCACCTTGCCTGTTCCCTGAGTTCCTCCATCCTGTCCAGC